GGGGAAAGAAAGATATTTTTAATGATGGCCTCATAGACTGTTTTTATCATGAACCCTTTTAATTACTTCTGCTGGTGATTCTGAGACTGTAGAAAAGATTTTTACACATGTCATGATGACCATTGGTCGACTTTTTGTCCGCACAACAGTTACATATCGATCCTATCACAGGGTTGCCGCCGCATGAAGCGACTTTTGGTATTGCTTTATGACGAACGGTCAACTATGAGGTGTAAAATGTTGCATTATTATACAAATCTTGTGCTACATTTAATAAATCTTGTGATTCATATTCAAAATTTTGCTATCGATATTCGTAAACTTGTGATTTGTATTCTATATCTTGTGATTTATATTCAATAATCGTTATTCATATTTGTAAGCTTGTGATTTATATGCGAAAGCTTAAGATTTAAATTTTCATAATTTATATGCTTAAAGAGGATATTCATATTAAGAAACGTGAATTATATGCAAAAAATTGTGATTTGTTTTCCATGATCTTGTGATATACTGTTTATTTGTTTGTTTGTTGTTTAACGACCCTCTCGAGAATTTTTCACTCATGTGAAGGGCTGCAAATTTTGACCTATACTCAGGGCCATTGAGCCATGAGGGATCTTTTTCGAGCCAGCACCTACTGCGATACGGGACTTTGGTTTATACGGTCTCATCTGAAGGACCTGACTCCACGTCCCGAAGTGCATGGATTTGAACTCGCGACGTAAGGATCAACTCCTTACACCGCGACTCTTGAGCAATTGATATATACTTGCTAATTAATACAGTGTATATGCCAAGTGGATATTCTTATTCGAAAACTTGTAATGAGTACATGTATATGCAAAACTTGTGATTCGTATTTGATAATCTTGTGATTTATATGCGATAATCTTGATTTATATCCGAAAAGTTGATATTCATATTTGAAAACTTGTAATATACATACTAGATGAAATCCCGCGCAAGCGCGGGAATTGAATTTATACCACTACCGACAGAAAATATATTGTAGATCTCTATCGACAGCCTACAGGCTTATAGCAGGAACAAATACTTTGTTCAAAATCCCACATGAAGTAGATTTACCTATCCAACCCCCCAACCCCCGTTTTTTTGTGTTTGTTTGTTTGTTTTTGTTTTTGTGTTGTTTTTTTTTGTTGTTTTTTTTGTTTAAACTTGAAAAATAGCAATTTCATTAATTGACGTTTATTGTGAAACCTGTTATATTATGTTATGGATATTGTACTTCAAATGCTCTTATTTTATTTCCGTCAAGGATAAAAGCAACGTATATGCACATTTTACTAATAAATTGATTGGGAGGGGGTAAAAATTCTCAGATACTTGGGTCTTGGTTTATAAATATGTTTGTACCTTATTGATATGTAAAAATGTACTTTACATTTTTACCTATCAATAAGGTACATACATATTTATAAACCAAGAACCAAGTACCTGTGTAAAAATTAGCTTTTAACGCTCTATGAATAGGCTGAGTATTTGATACAAAAGACTAAGCTGCAATAATGTAGCTCTCTCCGATTTTTTTTTTTTTTTTTTTTTTTTTTTTGTTTTTTTGTTTTTTTTTTTTTTTTTTTTTTTTTTTTTTTTTTTTTTTTGATCTGATATGTTCTGGCTTGTTTCTCTCTGCGCCCCCCCCCCCCCCTCAAAAAGGAGAGGGCTACATTATTGCAGCTATTAGAGATTGTATTCAGAAATTAACTGTGCATTGATTAATTGATTTGATTAAAGCGCAAAATTTTACATCTTTAACTGTATTTGAACAATACCTTATTCATTAATTTTCTCTTTTCATGTAAGCAAGTTTATTACGAAGTACAAATTGTACTTCGGGTTCGTTGCCACGATGCTCTCAGTAAGGAATATATACAAATTTCATCGATAAATTTATTAGGAAAACCTACTACATACATGTATATGTAATAGTCTTTCGATATATAATTATATTCACAACTTATAGTGTTATCAGTGATTTACCATTATTTCAATTATGACCATTTACTCAAAAGTTTTTTTATGGTCATGTAGCTATAATCGCCTCGTTTTTTCTTAACATCGGGCTCGATGCTATATGATGTTCAGAAGCTTCCGTCAATATAAAGATCGGTGAATGACGAAAATATTTTGCACATTTCCCTTTTTAATCGGTCATCTCGACTTTTTTTCTTTTATATCATTTAAATCGAGCTTTGATTGAATAATTCAGTGATGACGTTTTATGTAATAAATAAACGATTGCTTGTTGTCAGTTTCATTAAAAATTGTCTGTAACTTAGATCCGCCAACCGGAAACGCCACCGTACTCACGGTTTAGCTATTTCATGGCTGTTTATAGAAACTGAAAGTAGACTTTTAATTTAATGTACGATACTTACTATGCGAGTGAAATCTAAATATAGTTTACGGACATCAGCTTGTATCTAGTGTATTGTTAGAGGAGTAAGTAAGAATTCTGGTGCACCCGTTTCGGAGTTTATTTGCAAAATTTGTTAATTTATAAGTATAGATATATATATATATGCAAGAATTTATGATTTTGATAATCTTACGATTTATAACGCATATAAATAGCTAGATTTCGCAAACAAATGTTAAGCTCAATATTATTGCAAATAAATTACAAGATTATACGTTAATGGTAACCTAACAACCAAGTTTTATAATAATTGTGACTTCAACTTTTCAATTGTCAATTTCCCTTACTTATGTAACAATATACCCTTATCACCTGCATATGGGGTTTATGTCTACCAGTTGATGCGATATGCAAGAGCATGCTCTACGTATGAACAATTTTTAGAAAGAGGCAAGCTACTAACAACAAGTTGATGAAACAAGGATATCAACAGTATCGTTTGAAGTCATCATTTTGCAAGTCTTATGGTCGATACAATGACCATGTCAGCAAATACAACCTTAATTAAGTCAAATGCTGACTGAAGTTTTTCATACTAATTGTTAGGCAATTATTCACACACTGAATTGTCTACGGATTTTTCCGTTTTTCCCGATCATGACAAGGATCAAACGGCGGGTATGACTGGTCGGCAGGGGATGCTAACTCCTCCATGGCACCTGACCCCAACTCTGATGTTTTCTCGAGGTCCGTGTTTGCTCTGCTCTCGATTTGTTTTGTTTAAATGGACTTTGAGCTTGAATACTGTTCGTTAACTCCATATTTCATCATCGAAATGTGAAGTTTTGCATATAAATAACGAGATTCAAATATGAATTACATTTTTTAATAAAATATAAATAAGAAGATTGCGCATATAAATCATAACATGATGAACATTAGTAATAGGTTTTCGAATATAAATATCCACTTTTTTGCATATAAATCACAAGACTATCGAATATAAATTACAAGATTATCGCATATACCAGGTACTTCACAAGATTATTGAAAATGAATCGCAATGCAAGAGTTTGCATATAAATTAGAAATTTTTGGATATGCATATGAATATGACCTTTTTGCATATAAAATCACAAGATTTCGCCTAAAAATCACAAGTTTGCGAGTACGATTAACAATTTTATAAATTTGAGTAAATAAGATTTTGAAAAGAAGTCAAGTTTTATTAAATATACAACAAGATTTGCATAAGAATACAATGTTTTACACGCCATAGTCAACCGATGTACATTAACTCTTGTCTGATACAGCGGTAGCACTGTTACATGTAATATAATTGCAGAGAAATGAACGTGAAAGGCCGATTGAAAACACATTGACACGCTATATCTTTACCAAAAATAAATTGTTTGATTTTGCTTTCAATGAACATTTGCAGATATTCTTGCAACTATGAGGGCAAGTCGAGTCAATCTATGCTGACAAAACAGGTGTTTTAAACAGTAATAGATTTTTAACAAAGTGTCAAGAATTTTGTACAATGCATTGCACATTGTGTAGGATAAAAAGTGGCTTTTTAGAACATGTAGAAGTTATCAAGGTTCATGATGAATTGCATTCGTAACAATGCTGTGTTCTTAAAGACCTCAGTATATAATAGTAAAAGTATTTGACTTTTTGTATGTCTGTGGAAATGTCGTCATATGAAGGGAACCCAAGGCTAGAATCCACGTGACACTTTATAGAGCTAGACATAATTTATACTGAAGAGTTCTAGGCACGTTTTTCTTCTGCCGAACTCGACTTTAAAATTATTGCATGCACATAAAAATATTCATCGAAAAATAAAGATTAAACTTGGAGACCGCAGGAGATAGCAATGGTGAGCATCTCAATCTCCTTTACTAAAGCTCTGTGAAACCTAATCCTCTATAATTGGAAACTTGTGAAGACGTATAGGAGATAGCTATAGGCCTAACAACGAGATGTATTTCCTCTTGCATAATTAGTGTTCACTTCTTTATCAGCTGGGGTAACATATATGTAAAGAATATCTTACAGCCCATATTTTTCATCCTAAGCTTCTTAGAATTAAATCTTTCTTTTTTTCAATTCTAAGCTGGGATTTCGGTGTGAACAATGCGATTGCCTTATTTCACTCCTTCTTTGTGAACTGTTTCTTCAGTTTATGAAATATTTTCATCTTTTTTCAGCACTTTTGAATATGTATTTAAATACATCATTTCATAATGATCCTGCCCTATGCATGAAGTTAGCATATGAAGTTAACCGCCAGGAAAAAAGAACATTTAGATATATATAGTATTTGAACTTTTGGTACAAATTCTAAAAATAAGTATGTAATAAATCAACTTGAAATGAATGTACCAGAGAAAAAATTGTCTTCCAATATAAATACAATTTGAGCGAACTAAATAGCGGTATAAACGAGAAGACGATTGGTCAAATCCCTGGAGTAGTTTTTCGACGTTTCATCCTTCTACTTGTAAACCCGATGTATATTACATTCTGGGGAAACCTAATTCAACTTCCTGCGACGGACGGAGGGAAAGTCCAATATAATCGATAAATTATATCATACCATTCCTCCACATCATCACTAAATCCATTCAACGGAGCCAGGCGTGAGAGTCATGGTCATTGGATTAAATTATTTCTCGCTTTGCGTTCATTTGCGATAACATGAAGGTGTTTTCCCACTATATGAAGTGAAAAATCAATTCATTTTCAGGATGAAGGAACTGACTAATAAGGTAAGGATTTCATGAAATTTTCATTTCAAATGATATTAATAACATCGTTTGGAAATTATTTTATGCTCTTTCTCTTTCTCTCTTTCTTGTTAATTAAATGCGGTTAAGGTAATGTACTCCAAAAACCATTAAGAATTATTAGGTTTTATAATAAAATATATCACCATTTTTCAATAATTTGATACGCATAGTACCATTATCACCCGAAATTTCAATGTATACTTAAGCTTAAATAAAATATCAGTAAAATTGAGTTACATGATGTGCTTTTCGCATACATAAAGCAAAATGAAATTCGAAAAATAAACACTTCCCATCCAGAGGCTAAACAAAGAATGAAAAATATGACTGTTGCCTATAAGTACTCAAATAAATGGCGTTTTACTTTTAGTGCTGAAAAATCAAAAAAAAAAAAGTATTTAGTAACTATGCATGGCATGTTGGTGACAAGGTCATACCAATTTCGACAAATTACGTTCATGTTGGGGTACAACAGATATTAAACCTTCAATCTTTAGCGAACACTACCCATTCCTGCGAAAAAGGAAGGAAATCCTACTTAGGAATAAAAGCAAATATATTTAAAAAAAAAAGCAAATATGTTCAAAAAGCCTACCCCAAAACTTTACTTAATATTTATAAGAAAGTTGTATCACCTTCAGTGTTATTCGGTTGTGAGTTATGGAACAATTTGAAAACAAAAGACTGGAACATTTTGAATAGGTTTCAACATTTTATTGTAAAAGACATAGAAAATTTCAGATCAGCTATTTGTGAAAGGATGTTAGGATTACAACCAATACAAGCCGAAATTGACAAAAAAAAACATAATTCTTTGGAAAGCTTTGCTGCATGGGTAGTAATCTCCTTCCGAAACAAGTTTTTACAATACGAATGTTTGAGTCTCTCAACCACAACTAAACATCAAAATTCGGTTTTGTTATAGATCATGTCTTTATTATCCAGATATATTCTCTAGAAGGATTCCTTCAGACATATGCACAGGCAATACCTGTTTTCCACCCAAAAATATTTGGAAGAACGTTGTAAAACAGGCCATTAATTCTTTCAATTTTTCATGGAGAGATATAATTCACTCCGATCCAGATTTTGCTGACTTCAAGTTTCTTCATACAACTGTACATTCGGCTTCACTTTGGACATATTCACTTTCAACAAAAGAAATTCAAGTAGTTAGGTACATTGCAAATTTGTGGACTCTTGTACCGAAGAAGGATGCATATCAATGCATTATCTGCTCGAAACCCTTTACAAACAGTTTTCAACATGCCGTAGCTTCTTGTTCTATAATATCTAATGAAAGAACTTAATTTATGTTTGAATTATCAACTGAATACAATGATGTTTACAAAGATTTTGTCACTTTAAACGAATACAATTTTTATTTATCCGTTCTCAGAGGTACCCATGACCAAGTTTCAGACAAAAAGAAATTCATGTTAAAATGTTTTTCATTTTTCTAGTTTAGCTTCTAGTATAGCCACTTACCGCAATAAAGTGTATGATAAACACACATGAGATGTTTTTATTTTTTCATACAGAGCATATAAGCAAATTGTACATACCGCAAATTTTCACTGATATAGATATGTTGTAATTATTAATCTCCAAATGGGGGGGGGGGGGTGTTAGATTGAATGTACTCCACAAACCACCAAGATATATTAGGTTATATAATAAAATATATCACCATATTTTATTAATTTGATACGCATAGTACCATTATCACCCGAAATTTTAGTGTATACTTAAGAATTAATGAAATATCAGTAAAATTGAGTTACATAATGTGCCTTTCGCACAAATAAATCAAAATGAAATTCGAAAAAATGAACACTCTTCCCATCCAGAAATTAAACAAAGTAAGAAAAATATGACGAAAATGATCAGTTAAAAAAAATAAATACTGTTATTATTTCTCAAAGAAAATGGTGAAAATGACGAATAGTGACCAACCTCATAAATTAAGTTTTCTATATAATCTTACTAAATATATTGATTGTTTATTAATACGTTAAAATATGCGTGGGTTCTACTGAAGAATTTCTGTTTCTTTGTTTGTGGTGAGACCTAGTACAAGACTACTAGCACATGGAATTTTTCAATATTGAGAATCTTTATCAGTCGTGAAAAAAGCTGTGGGGCCTCATTAATTTTATATCACGCTCATTCTATAAAAAGAAACCCAAATAATGAGAATACTTTTATGATTTTAGACCTTCATTAAGGGGAACAAAATATGTTTGCCAGGTAGTAGAGTCCCACTGAACTACACGCTGAAAAAATCTCTCAAGCATACGACACAAAAACCATAACATGAATTTATTCCTAATTTAAGAAAGTCTTGAACACTCGAAGACTAGAGAGTTCTAATTGTAAGGCTGTTCTATGCAGAAAGATTGATCTGCCCTTATGAGATGTAAGATATACACTGGAATGATACAAATTGTAACTCTGACTGTTACTCTACTAATACATTAAAACATTAATATGACATCATGTTTTGTTCTTTTAATACGTTCTATTTCTTGAAAGGCCCAAGACAGTCCAATAAGTTACCTGTAACCGTCAAATAAGTTTAAAAATAATCTGTCCATAATTTTAAAAAATGGACAGTATTTAATAACTTATTGGACGGCTACAAGTAAGTTATTGGATTAAGAAAACACAACAAAGACACAAATAAATATTTAAAGTAATGAATCCAACATGTATTACAATGTAATGAAATATATATTCCAAATCACGGAAACGAAACCTGAGACTTTGTAATTGTTCCAATAAAGATGAAATGTTTATTCCAAATCACAATGAATGTCAAAACTTAACTTGGAAGGAAATATCTCCGAATTCTATTGGAACGTAACTTACACCAACAACCCGCTTGGGGATATCACTTCTCCTTTTTAATGTCTTCCTAACAAGAATCAATCGCTCCTTCTTTCTCACTAGAACTCTGAATAATTTTGCTCAATTTCTGCAAGAGCACATCGTTTCTTCTATTATAGGAATGCAAGGGTGTTTGGTCAAAATTCTTTGCCCGATTTGTTTCTGACTTCAGAACAAGAGGCCCCTGGGCCACAACGCTCTCCAGAGTAACTTTGGCCCTGCTGTTCTTCACCAGATTTCCCCTTTGTAATACTCATTGTGCCCCCACACTACACCAGGGGGTTGATTTGAACAATTTAGAATCTACACTACCCAAGGAAACTTGTGCATAAGTTTCAGTTTTTCTGTCCCAGTCGTTCTTGAGAAGAAGATTTACCAAAAAAATTCCTGTATATTTCAATGTAAAACTTGGATTCCCTATTGTGGCCCCATCCTACCCGGGGGCCATGGTTTGAACAATTTAAAATTTACACTACCCCAGAATGCTTCCACATACTGTAAACCAACATTAATTCGCGTGCGATAGATATTCGCGAGTTTTGCGACCTACTTTAACTTGCGAATATTAATCGCCCAAGGATGTTTGTACCTTCTTTGGTTAAAACTGGCCCAGTGGTTTTTGAGAAGAAGATGGAAATGTGAAAAGTTTACAGACCGACGGACGGACAGACGGATGGACGGACGGACGACGGACAACAGGTGATCAAAAAGCTCACTTGAGCTTTCAGCTCAGGTGAGCTAAAAAGCTAATAATTTTATTGATTTCTTTTACACCCAACATCGCGATGTCCTTAATTAAGCATGAAAACATCTACGTTGGGCACTGTGTAGCATTCTCTCAGTTCAAGAATACATTCACTGTCCATTCAATTTCTCTAATTTTAAAAAGCTTCTTTTAAATCATCTCAATATTGTTGATTTAATTATGGAAATCTTTCTACGTTTCCTCTGTTTTTCTGCATCCTTGAATAGCTAGCCTTGGCTAAAAGTTGAAAAATATTTGAAAAAACGTCAACTTTGCGTTCAAAGTTCATTATCCTACGTCCGTCCAATAGTTCTTTTTTCTCATAGAATGGACAGTTTTCGACCTACTATCTTTACTTAGACCACAAAAGTAACTGAATACATTATTCACATGTATTTTCCCCATGTCAGTCAACAACAATGATTTCTGCTCACTAATACTTTCTGCATTATTGTCTTTAAAGATTTTTCTTGGGGAAATATGGCGGATACCCTATATTGAAAAAATAACTAGATAAACTCAAAATGATATAATTTCTCAAACAAGATGGGCGAAATAGGTGTGCTAGATGCCTATAGCTTCAAATGTTTCAAAATTAAATTCAATCTGTGATCTTTTAGCATTTAGAGCAAGAGTGCAAAGTTTTAATTAATAAAAGGTATAAAATGAAGTAAAAATAAATTTCTGCGGAAAAATTCTCTCGCCAAAAACTATTTTATGTTATAAAAAAAAATTAAGAACTTCCTGTGATTTGAACCCAAGCGATAAAAATCCTGAATATCATTTTTCTTTCTCAGACACTGACATGCTTATCACTACACCATTTTACTCATGACAAGAAGCGGCATTTAAATCTTGTTTGTGATATGACTCTTGAACAACGGTTCGGACTTAAAATTTCTTGGAAAGATTCGAATTTTGTGTCGTAAAAGTGTATTTTAAGGTAGAGTGAGTCCTTGCCCCATGTTTTGTGAAGCAAAAATACATATTTTTTAAACATACTTTGAAGATATACTGTGGAATCATCATTGTTAGTGGATACCAGAGTTCGTGGAATTTATTGGTTACCCTTACCCATGAATCTACATCCGACGAACTTTTATTTTGTAAACATATTGATTCATGAAATCTACGGTATAAACGAGTAACCCACTAAATAACGTCAGCACGAACAAGTAAAATTTTCCTTGCTCCCGAACATTGACTCCCACGAATTAATTAAAATGATTTCACAATACTTTCAAATAACATTGAGCGAAGACCCAAATATATAGAACAATTGTGTTATTGACTTCAATAGTCTCGTTTGAAATCATCATTTCGCAAGTTTTATGGTCGATACAATGATATCATGAAGTCAAATGTTAGTTGTTAGGCCATTATTTACACACTGAATTGTCCATGGATTTTTCCCTTTTCCCCGATCATGACAAGGGGTACACGGCGAGTGTAACAGATCAGCAGGGGATGCTCACTCCTCCATGGCACCTGATCCCACCTTGATATTTTTGTAGGTCCGTGTTTGCTCTGCACCCGATTTGTATCGTTTCAATGGACTTTCAACATGAATAGTGTTTTTTATCTCCATATTTCATGTTATAGCAGTCGTCCGCGTGGCTCAGTGGTTAGAGCGTTCGCTCTAGAATCGCGGAGTAAGGAGTTGATCCTTAGGTCGCGGGTTCGAATCCCACTGTGGGACGTGGAGACCTGTTCTTCGCAGGAAACCGGATAAACCGAGGTCCCGTGTCGCAGTAGGTGCTGGCACGAAAAAAATCCCTCACTGCTCAATGGCCCTGAGTGCCGAGTATAGGTCAGAATTTGCAGCTCTCCACCGGCAAGTGTTGGCATCTCCATATGAGTGAAAGATTCTCGACAGGGACGTGAAACAAAAAAACAAACAAAAAAAAATGTTATAGCATAAAAAATAATCATTTTTTCCTCTTTGGTGTGTACATGCTATTTCATAGACGAATGATTTTAACACTTGTGAGATCGTTACAAACACACATACATCATTGTTAACTGAAATACCAACGAATGTTGTGTTATAATTGAGATTCAATTTTTATTTTTTTATTTGTCGATGCATATATAGGCATTTTTCTCGGCTTGTTTGTCCATCTTAATTTTTCAATAAAGAACATTTTCATTAGGTTTAGAGCTTCCTTCACTAATGACTTTCCCGTGACCAATATCTGATTCAGTATTATGACACCATGCGTGTTTGATTGGTGGAAACAGAAACCTTTCATCAGGGAATTGCTTTCTTTAAGATGCCATTTCGAATTATTTGATTAGGAAAGCAAGAATCTTAATAGAACTCTCAAAGAGATGAACGATTTATCAATCAACGAATATTAAAGTGTTTGTTTAATATACAAGTGTATTAAAAAAAGTTCTTTTGACGTCAAATCATCAATAACCTAAAAGTGTCTGTCTACCTGTGATAAATAACGAATTGCGTGTAGCAAAAATTGTGTGTAACAAATATCTTGTTATTTATAACTCATTTGTTTCAGATACCAGTTATGAGGCACGACATTTTCTTCCATGAAGATCTTTTTAAATTACCTTGAAGGACTCCTTTGCCAGAAATGACGAGGAGGAGAAAAAGGACTAAAGCTATTTTTCAGATTATGAATTTCGTCATACTGACGTCAATTCTCACTTTCGCCATGAACAATGTCGTCCTCGGAATGTCCGCTTATCGAGGTAAGTATATTTACATTTCCAAATATTTTTCCTTAAGATTCTTTGCACATTAGAAAAAATTCATGTTCTCATGAACTATCGGGATGAGTAAGAATATTTCCATTGTCATGTGATTAAAGTCAAAAATAGTGCAAACTTTGTTTTTCAAAAATGATCAAAAATATGTGGCAAGTCATCAGAAAAATAATGTAAATATAAGATATGAATTTAATTTTTGAGAATTCATGAGGTACATGAACTACAACGCTTCACGCCTGCATATTTATCATGAAGCGCTAACGAGCTTCATGAAATATGCCGGTGTGAAGCGTCGTAGTTCATGTCCTCATGAATTCTCAAAAATTAAATTCATCTCTTAAATATTTATATATATTTGAGTGAAAAGAAGAAAGTACACTAGGTTCACATATAGCTTGCATAAATAATTGATCTCCATATTTTCTACAATTCTTAATATTGCATCAGCCAAACTTTCAAAATTTCAAATAAGACAGCGAAATTGATAGATGTTTGGGAAAATAGATTTCCAAATAAAAATAATATCAGCAGATTGAAATAGATGCAAATAATAAAAATATGGCATATTAACCTAAGTAAACCAGAAACTTTGCTATTGCTCGCAATAGCAATGTCAATATGAGCTGATCCTTGCAGTGCGTTATGGGATTTGAAGACAGAGTAAGCAATTCCTTTTAAATAGTATGCAAGCTTTCAAAATTTACCAATTTTTGTTTCCCGGGCAGTTTTTGAAAACAATTTTGTACAGTCGATACCAATTTTTTCTTTCCCGTTTTTTGATATCAGTTTGACTTGATGCTAGCAATATTTCTTTGAAGTTTGAAGAACATTTTGTAGACAGTTTTTGAGATACATATATATGAAATTAAATTTTTTCACGTCTGTTTACATATCCACAATCAATATTTTGAACATTTTAAACGTTGAATGCAAAACTGAACTGTAGAAATTATCAAGAGGGAATGTGTTTGTCACTTTACAGGGAAACAATATTAAAACTAAAAAATAAAATTGTAAGCCCAATCACTATCTTCTCCTCAATTAGTGCAAGTATAAACCAGTAGAGCTTAAGACTCATCAGAGACGTTTGGTTTCTTCTTTGACGATTTATCTATTTTTCATTATATGAGAATGAAATGAAAATAACATTTGCCTAATGCATTTATTTCAATAAACATCTCACTAATATTCTTGACAGCTGCTGGTTTATCAAGCCCATCATTACGAGGTTTACATTTGATACGCCAACAATAAACTTTATCTGCTTTTATTTTATCTTGTTTTCAAGAAACGTTTCTTTCAGTAGTGTTTAAACATGCGTCAGACTGAAACCAAAGGAATAAGAACTGTGTTGAAAATTGGGTGATTTACAATCAATGTCTGGATCAAATTGCCAAAATAATTCAGATGCGGCTCAATTTTTTTTTTATCGGTTTGTAATACAGGAGTAAAATAAATAAATTTGCAGCTTAAGAACGAAAAAAGCTGATTTTATGAAACATGGTGTTTCCAGAAATTATTGAGAATTTTTTGTGGTAAAAATATTTTTAAAATAAAATATTTATAGTTTGAAATCAATTTTTATCTAAGGACAATACTCGATACTTTTTCATGTTATGCGCAGTTTTTAAGCATAAAACACCATTTACTTTGTATATTTCCTTTCGGTTACTTATGTTCAAAATGATTACTTTTGATAACAGGAAGTTTATTTGTAGATGTGTTTTATCAAAGAATGGCAAAGCTAATGATACTTCTGAAACACTGAGTATTCCAATGTTTAGTTTTGTTTCTCTTGACAAAAATATTGAAATATGGACAAGAATTTAGCATAGAGAAAGAGCTGGTAGGGTTAGGAAAGTAACCCCATTTTTCTACACTTAATATGTTATTCTAAGTAAGCCTTCTTTGATCTGTAAATGTTAGTTTACTAGGCCTACCGACTCTTTTCCTTAACTGAAATTCTCTACTTTGTCAATATTTTGTAACACGCAATACAAAGTGGACAATAAAATGTTCAGTGTTTCAGAAATATTACTAGGCTTAACAATCATCAACAAATAAATATCTAAAATAGGATATTTTATTTTCAAGAGCAGTAATTTTTAACAACAGCAGAAAACAAGAAGAACATAAATAGGTAGGGGAGTTTTCCATGCAAACTGCATGCATCATAAGAAAGTAGAGGTTATTATCATTTGTGACCGGTCAACAGGGAATGCTTACTCCTCCATGGCACCTGATCCCACCTATGTATTTAGAGGTCTGTGTTTGTTCTGTTCCCTATTTGTATTGTTTCAATGGACTTTTGATTACTGTTCGTTATCTCTCTCCATATTTCATCATTAAATAAAATAGTGACATTAAATTATATTAAATGTTATTAATCCAATATTTTAAGATTAATGTTTTACAAAAATTCTCAGTAATTTATGGGAACACCATTTATCAATTTTTTTAATTTTCGAATATAATAATAAAAGATCTGATTCTTCAAGCTTGGTAAAGCATTGAGATAATCATGAAATAATGTTAAGAACCATTTATGTATAACAGCAATTATGGTCAGTGAGTTTTCCCTCAATGATAGGAATGTCAATTGTATTTCTAATCAAAGATAATGTCACGCTCACTGATGTCCTTTTATTATTTGTAGTTGGACTGGAAACCCCTAAAGAAAACAAAAAATCAATAATACTTATAAGGCATTTATTAGTAAAGAGGGATAATGAAACAAAAATTTTCATAAAAATTGTGGTCAACAAGATTTTCTATAAAAAATGTAATTATGAAAAAAAAAATGGAGATTAGGTACCTTTTTTGACGGCATTTAGTTTCATCAACAGTCTACAAAATCTTGTCTATACAATAAGGCAAGTCTTTTTATAGCTTGTTTATCAAATATGGAGATAACAAACAGTAATAAAGCTCAAACTCCAAAGACAAAATACAAATCGGAATCAGACCAAACACAGACCTCTAAAAACATCAATGATGGGATCAGGTGTCATGGAGGAATACGCATCCCCTGCAGACCGGTCACACCCGCCATGTGCTCCTTGTCATGGTCGGGAAAACGGAAAAATTCGTAGACAATTCAATGTGTAAATAATGGCCTAAAAATTAGTATGGAAAACATCAGTCAACATAAGTAAGAAAAGTCTACTTATAGCTTGTCTTTAAAATAAGGCATACAACCTGCAAATAGTTTTTATTGTATAAAAATTCAGTACTTAGTATAAAGGGCATACATGTATAAAGAAAGTCTTACCACATTGAAAAAATACTAGAGTACTCTGTGGTAAAAAATGAAGGCATAAGCAGTGTCAGTGGGGATTGGAAAACCTTGCCATCAGTCTTGTCAGTGAGTTCTAGGCTAACACATTAACAGAAAGCACAGCAACTCAAAATATTTTTCAGATTTAAAACTTCTTTGTGATATGGCACTTGAATAAATTGTAGCAATCAGAAGATACTTAAAGAATCAGGTAGTGCTATTAAAGTGCATTTTTTAAAGTATATAGTTGGTCCTTGCTTCATGTTTAAAAATTTTTATAATACTTTGAAGTCGTACTTTAATATTATGGAGCAAGATCCAATCATAGGGAAAAATGTCTTAATACACAAAAGAGGCCAATATTGGTCTTTTTGGTGTGAGCTTTACAGATGAAGATGAATTATTTCAATACTTATAAGATTGTTGCAATTTGTACAGAGTTTGCAGCAAGCTGATGTTTACTGAGGGTTTTTTAATGCATATATATTCCATTTTATTTGTACAATCATGGGAATTTTAGCTCTCTATCTTTGTTTCCTCGGAAAAAAGTGTATTAGTTTTCGGTATTTAAAGGGAAATTACATTCTTTTATTAGGCAAACCAACTTTAACATATCGATTTGTTTATCGACATGAATGCACAGAAGGGCATTCGTTAAATGAACCCACGCAAATTAAGTCGAGCTTTTCTTTAATTTGCTGCCAACAAGTCTTAAATTGTTAACTTTTGCTTCCCTCTTCAAGCCACATTCTAGGCATTCATGATTCTTATTATTAACACATTATTTTATACTGCCAATAAAATATTTGCTTCCTTTAATTTTTTTCTTTAATATTCACATCATATAACAACCACGATAAAGTTGAATTATTTGATCAGTTGAGTCATCGACCTTTTATAGACTATATATGTTCTTTTCTGACATGTGCTGTCTATTAACATTTGTAAATTTTTCTAAAACCGAGAACATCTTGGACGAGAAAAACTTTCGAATTATTTGGCTTTGCAATTTTGTAAATATCTCTACATAATACAATTGTTCCTTTTAAAAAAAATGAAGAACTCTAGCTGCAGAACTGTAGATCTCCGAAAAAATATATTGACAGAACGGAGAGCTACAGTGCCACCCATTGAAAAAAAATGTATATTTATTGCTCACAAAAAAGTGCGCTGTTTCTCGATTTATTTCTCCATGCTTTTAAAACTGCCATCTCAAAATATTAATAACCGTGTGTTCCTAACATGTTCTTTTACCGTTTCCACAACAAAACATTCCTTATAATTCTCCTGGCCCTGAAATTGAAGCCATCGAAAATTTCGCCTATTTATACTTCGATTTTGGTTTGCAAGATAATTCGGTCCAACGACCTTCGTGCAGATGTCAACTACGAGAGGATTTGATAGAGGAGTAAGGATTTTTTTTTTTTTTTTTTTTTTTTTTTTTTTTTTTTTGAATCTAGCCTTATTGTAATTGAGGTAAGAATTTGGATAAATTAAACTCCTGTACCGAGCGCAACTTTTTGTGCGCAATAAATATACATTTTTTTCTATGGGTGGCACTGTAGATCTCTGGTCGTCCATCCCAATTTTTTTCAGACCAGCAAGCTACAGATCTGCAGCTAGAAGAACTCTTGTATGTGAAATTGAAAGTTTGATTAACGAGGTTCGCTCCTGAGCTTTTGAGCAGATTTTTATTTTAACCTAT